TTAAAGAAACTGTTATAGCTATATATTAACAGTTTTTTATAATAGCAGATATACTTATAGATATAGAGCTTGTATCTTGTTAATAGAAAGTTGGCTCATATTATATAACCTTCTATTTTTTCAACAAATTCCAACTTTTCTTGATGTTTCTATTAATAAGGAGTCCTACTCCAGATTCTTTGGATTTCTTATTATTACTACTGTAAAAAAACTTGTGTATTTGTTGTAAAGTGAAAGCAAATTCTGCTATATTATTTGTTAGTTTGATTTTACAGATACCTAGGATATTTATATTGAGTTTTTATATAATTTTATATAGCCTTCATTGATCTAGGCTGATATTAATTCCTCTAACATTATATGTTTCAATTGAGATAGTATTAGTTAATATAGAATTATCTGTAATATACTTATTATATAGTGTATACTTTTTTTCAATTCTATTATTAGTGTTATTTTTGGATTATACTAATAAAGTTATCTAATAATATGTTATATATTATATAGGGGAGAGTTATATTGATATCTACTATTTTCTTTGAAATTGCACTTTTTTTTTTAGAATAAGCTTGTTTTCTCTTGTAAATTAGACTTTTTCCTAATATACTTTGATTGGACTAGTACTAATCTCAAGAGCAATTGTTTCATTGCCTCCCTTTTATCCTATTCTGGTTACCTGTTTTCTCTTTAATTTAATTTATTCTATTATTTAATCATTTGAGATTATTTAGAATCTGATGAAAAGGATCTTGATTACTTTCACTTTTAGGATAAGAACTGTCAGATCTATTATATAAACTTTTTTTTCTATTATAATAATTGATGGCTTCCTGTTACTATCAGTAGCAAAGCATCTGGAAGTCTTTATTGTTTTAGTAATATACTTATTACCTTGAGAATTGTGTTTTTTTCTTTTTTTCTTTTTTCTAGGCCTATCCTTTTCTTAAAGTTACTTTCTAATTCTGAGTCTTTTATAGATATTATATATCGCTTGCCTTAATATTGCTTCTAATGTCAATTTGATCCAGTTGTCTTGAGTATAGTTTGGTCTGTATTATTTCATAATAGGTTTTTTCTTCATTATAATTATTGTTTTTAGTTTGAGCCCCTTTATTACCTTATATCGTTCCTTTCCTAAAGTGTTCCCTAGTACTTCAGTTGAGTTTATGGCTATATATGAATATACATATATTGTCTCAAAGTCTTATGCAGATCTTCTGCTGTTACAAAACAAACTAATACATATCTTCTTCTTTTAAAGTAAGTGAATTTCTTGATATATAATATGCTTTAACTCTTGTATGTTGTGTTGCTCTTACTATGAGATTTGTGAAGATATTGTGTATCCCATACAATCATAAAAACTGACTATTACAATTTTTGAGAATGGCATTAACTTTGTAATCGTCTGGTTTATATTAGATAAAGACTATCTTAAAGATATCTGTTTTGGTATAGACAAACTATCTATCTTTCAAGTTTTGTTGATTTAAAATGAGTTGTATCTTGATTCTTTTTTGAGAGTAAGAGTAATTGTAAATATAGATACTTAAGACCTTTCCATATTTTTATAAGATAATCTTAATTTCTTGACAAGTATGACTATGATTAAGATTGATCAGTATAACAACTACTGTTTTGTTTCTTTCTTTTGCTACCTCTTGTTTGAAGAACTTCTTTTCTAGTGATAAATATAAGGCATTCTATTTCTTTGTTTATATAAGGATTAAAGTAAAGTTTTTTATTTTTTCTTATTAATTTTCTCTATATATTGTAAGGTATCATTAACTTTCTCAAAGGTAAAAGTTATTCAGACATTATTATTGAGAAAGTCTTTTCTGAATAGTAGCATATCTTTGAATAGACTTAGGATACCTTTAATATAGACTAATTATTCTTTTTTTATATCTTCTAATATCCTAGAGATAAAAATTCCAACCTTGAATTTTCTTTTTTTAATGATATGAAATGGATTTAGGCTAAACATTTTGGGTCTATTCCATGTATTGTAGGAGATTTGTTATATTATATAGTATTTTTTCCTTCAACTTTTTTCTATATATTTTTCTATTTCAAGTTTTTCTTCAAGCCTTTTTTTAGTTTTTTATTACACATTTTGATTTCAGTATTCTTTAAAATTTTAATCTTAATTGTTAGTTGAATTTCATATCCTTATTTAAAGAGATATTCTTATCTGAGGTTGAATTATCTATTATGGAATTTGTGAATTTTCCCTTAATCTGAAAAGTTTTAAGAAAATATAGAGAGAAACCATTTATGATAGTATCTTGTTTCAAGATGCATATGATTTTTTCTTTCAAGAAGGGTATCATAAGGTCTTCTTCTTTTTCTTGATCTTGTTTTTATAGATATAGGATATAGTGTTTGAGAACCTTAGTTTTAATAAATATAGTTGGATCTATATTTAGGATTTTTGCAAGAATACTATCAAATATCAAGTATTCTACTGATTTTAATATTTAATTGGACTTGTTTTGTATAGTGAGAGTACTGAAGATAATTTGAGTAGCTCATATTTTTTTTCTCTGGTCATGCTTTTCAGTTGTTTTGACTATTGTATTAAGGATATGTGACTCTTTTTTCTTTATAATTTGTATAATTTTTTGTTTCTTTGTTATATTGATTATGTATAAAGGAGGATAAATTGCTGATTTGTTGTTTTGTTTATCTTTTTTGTTTATTTATATTTGACAAAGTTTATGGAATTATTTGTTTATTGTCTTGTTTGAAATATTGTTTATTCAAATGAATTATTGTTTCTTTCTGTTTTGATCTACTTGTTTACTGAAATAGTTATTTTTTTTTTTTATTGTGAAGAATAGACTAGACCATTTGTTCGTAAACTCTTGATAAACCTTATTATGTTGTTTTGATACTGACTTATTTGACATATATATATTTGCATAACTTGTTTTATTATTTAGACAGATATGTATAGAATCAGGATACTCTATTGTTTAGTTTTTGAAAGTCTTTGATATCTTTTTGAGCTTTATAAACTTTGAGTTTTTTTTTATTTATCAATAAAAACTACTGTTTATAAAGTTCCTTATAATATTTAGAAAGATGTAAACTGATACTGGCCTGACTAAAAGTTTGGAAAGTTAATATTGGGCTCTTTTAAGTTTAATGCAAATTAGCTTGTAGGTGTGTTTTTCTTTTCTTGTAAGTAAAGTAAAGTAGAGCTGAAATAATATTATATTGCTTATATTTCTCTTGATTGATAAAGTAATTTTTGATGAAGTGATAGAATATTGTAATTTATTACTAGTTTCAGATCTTTGAAAAATAAAGTATATTAGACTAGCTTCTCTTTTCTAAAAAAATTATAAAATAGAAAATTTTTAAGGAAAAGGTGATTAACAAAAAGAGTTTTTTTTTTTTAATTAAAAAATAAATTACATAATAATTTTAATATATTTTTTTATATTTTTTTATATTTATACTTTAAAAAATATATTATAAAGTTTTAAATAATTTGAAATTTTTTTGTTAATTTATAAGCAAAAATATATATTTTAAAAAATTCTAAAAAATTTTATTGTGTATTGTATTATATTTAAATTTTATGATTTTAAATATATAATTTTTTAATTTAAATTTTAAAATAAAATATATATTATAATTTATAATAATAATTATAAGTTTATTGATTAAAAATTGATTTAAATTAGTAAAAAAAGTAAACTATTGTTTTTTAAATTATATTTAAAGAAATAATTTTTAGTAATAAACAAGTTAAAATATAAAAGTCAAATAATTCATGAATGTTTAACAATATATATATAATAAAAATAAACTATATTAACTTGATTGTAGATCAAATAATTTTTAGAATAAAAAAAAAGTTTTATTAAATTATTATTAAGAAATAATAATAATAATTTATATATTTTCTTAAAAATATTTTATATATTTTAATAATTAATAAAATAAATATATTAATTAATTAGTATATTATATAACTTTTTTTTAATATTTATTTTTATTAAACCATATTAATTAAAAACTATTAATATTTATTTTTTCTATAAAATTTTTTATTTAAAAAAATTGTTATATTTATAAAAAAATTTTAAAGTAAAAATAAAAATAATACATACTAATTAATATAAAAATAATATTGAATCTTATACAAATATTAACAAATAAAAATTGAAAATATTTATTATCTACTGGGAATATCTATCTATTTTTTTTTATTGTTTACTTTAAATATGGATTAACACAATGAAAAATGTGATGTATGTCATCAATAAAATTTTCTATTTTTATATTATACCTAATGATAAATAAAGATTTTACATAATACTGTCCTATACTGTATTACGCGTTAATTACCTGCGATGATAGATAATATAGAAGACAATCATTGATATTTATATTTTTAAAAGTGCGACGTTCAGACTAAAAAATTTTAAAAATTTTTATTGACTCCCACAAATTGTGATAAAAGTAGGCATCACATGGAATAATTTATTTTTCGAATCGCGTATAATTGTTCTATTTGTGATCTATTTTGTATATTACCTCAGGCTAAACCATATTTCTCATTGGATGGTAATATCAATATAACGCCAAGGAAAAACCTTGACGCGAAAATAAAATTTCTTCAAGGTGACTTCATGTTTACGTAAAAAGGATGTTCTAAAGAACGTGTATATTATGAAACATATATCGCAAACCATTATGTAACTCGTACCAATTGTTTGAGGGCAGCTTCCATCTTTCTGTCCTAAAGATATCTGTATTTTTTGCTTGTTTTTTATAATTTAAAAATAATATTGTATCGTTAGTAATAATTAATTATAATATGCAACTTTAAGGGTGCAAATTTACAATTGTGGCACGCAAAATTGTATATAGTTATACTAAAATTCTCCAAAAAAATGCAAAGAAATGTATAATGGCTATGACAATAACTCCACATTGCATGAAAATTCCAAATCTATTAAATAAACTATTTTGGTTCTTTTTACTTCAATAACATTCTTAACCTCTCATTTTCATAATTCTTTTCTTTAACGGTGTTTTCTAACATTTCATTCTTAACCTCCAACTTTTCAATGGCATTGTCTTTTTCCTTTATTGAATTTTTCATAAGTTCGAACGCAGCCTCTAATTCATAGATCTGATTTTCCAATTGTTCGCGTTGAACCCTCTTTCTTGTTCGAGAACGACGAGCAGCCTGCCTATTTTTTTCTCTTCGTCTCCGATCTCTTTGCTCCTTCTCTTCAACTGAATGGCGACGCTTCGGACGACCAATGGATTTTGTGATTGAGTGATGTGCTTGTGGGAGTGCTGTTGTTGATGTAGATGAGGCAACGTCAGAAGCACTTGATGGTGAAGAATCCTGTGAAGAATTGCTTCCATCATGAACGACAATGTCAGCAGGAGAGATTGGTTCGTTCACCATGCCATTAGAAAAATTCATGTTTACTAATTGTCTGCTATCTGGTTGAATGAGCGTGAGTTGTGGGAGTTGTGCTGGACGTTTTAATTTCGAAGACGGAGAAATAATGCAATCTCCCGACCCCCCCTTAAATGGATCTTGAGATGAGGGGGGTTGAGATTCTAAGATAGATGCATCAGGATTGCATGAAAATGTCGTCGAATGGGTTGATGGTTGAGGGAAAGACGGTTCAAAAGATGATTGCTCTGTAAAGCAATCGTTTAAAAATCCAACAGTTGAATTTTCAATGGGGATGATGAACGTCGAAAAATCTGGGATTAACTCAGGTGGTGGTGTAGTCTGAACGATAAAAAAATGGGGACCCTGGTCATTAAAAAGTTGTTCTGATTTCGATTCGATTTCTTCATTCGGAAGACTCCACAGTATCGGATTACTATTGTATAAATGTGACATTTATTGAGGCGTACAAAAGAATTAAAGTTTTTTGTAAAAGACAATAAAGAAAAATACGGAAAAATTGAAGTGAGGTTATATTTCTCAATGAAAATGCAACGGATGAATTGTTTTATGCAATGAGAAGAATTTGTGAATTCATGGACGTGTCATACACATTTTCTACGATGTCCCATTTCTTTGCTTGTTGCATTATTGATAAAATGTGCTGATGTGTGTATTTTTATGTGCCTATGATATATCGTAGTCTTATGATGGTATGTTTTTTAGTGGCATAAATTGACGTGTCTTATCCGATCCTTCGTTTATTGTAGTTTTGATAGTTTTTAGAGTTTTAGGTTTATTTACCTTGTCGGATGACACTATTTCACTGCAAATGGGTGTTTTTTTTTTTCTTTTTTTCTTTTTTTTTTTTTTTTTGTGATTGGATTTCCGACATTCAAATTTTATTACTGTGGGATGATGTGTATATTATTTCATCTGACGAGTCTTTCAGTCTTTCATACGTGCCGACCGTGGGAAATTGCAATTAAAACAAAAAAAAGTTATTCGTATTTAATGTAAGTGTAAAACAGAATATTTATATTGTCATTATTTTAATTTACAATAATATAATTTACTATTATAAACATGAATTTGTATATTAAATTTGAATATATATAATTTATCTTTTTTAAATGCAGTATTTAAGTTCAAAAGTTATCAAATTATTTTAAAAATTTAATGGATTTAATTCATTCTTTAATTTAAATAGTTTATTTTATTAAACTTTTGTTAATTGCATGTATTACATTTCACCGAAGTTTTTATTTTTTATTTTTATTCTTTTTTGAGTAATCGTAACCAGGCTAGATTGTTAGTTTATTAATCAATTGAAAACATAAGTATATTTTCATTCGAGCAGTATAATAAATATTACAGCTAAACTATTATTCTAATCTAACTAACTCATCATAAGCATAAAAGTTTCTAAATTTGATCTTGAGAACAATATTTTGTTTCACAGTATCTTTAAAAGAAAACTCTTCTAGTTTACTGCATTATTGCCAATAAGTTATCACTGCCGTATATTAATCCAAGTGCTGGAATACAGGAAACTACAAAAGGATGGATTAAAAAAAGAGAAGAAAAATATCTAAAAATGTCTAAATAAACAAGAAAATAAAAAATAAAAATTGAAAAAATATTTCCAGTCTTCTTCAAAGACCTGCTTCTCAAGATTTCTTCTTAATAAGAAATGCCTAATTGGGCTATCCTTTCTTTTCCTAACTGTCTGATGAACTTACCCATTCTTGATCTTAATTTTCTTTTTACGTATCATCTGAGGAAACTTATTGCCTAGTAAAAACCTTTATTTTCAGGACACACTTGATCTCAACCTTCTTTGATCAATAATTTTTTATCCACCTGTAGCAGAGAGATAACTTATGATGGATCACAGATTCTTATATAACCTAATAGAAATTGGATCATATTATTTCAGTATAATATTTTTTAGTAGCTATGTCTAGTTAAAGAAATTTTGCTGATATATATCTTCTATTGTTCAAAAAGTCATTTTCCAAAGATCTTTTTACCTCACAATAGTGGAAGGATACCAGAAGAGCAATAAGAATCCTCATCGATTGCAATATTCTTCAACAACTTCTAGGAAAATACATTCTTAACTGTAACAAAAAATTGAAGCTTAATATAGACTAAAGATTGTTTAGTCTTATTGCTTAACCAGGATAAAAAGGAAACCTTGGTCTTGAACTTTGCCTAACCAAAATGATAAAAGAAAAAGATCCCAGCTTGAAAAAATAGTAGCTTTTTTACCACTTGAGGACTTGTTGCTCATATTTTATTGATCTTATAGAACTTGATCTGTAGGTTAATCCAATTGAAGAAATGAGACAGATATGAGATATTAATCAACTCTTTCAATCATCAATAATATCATCAAAATAAATAAGATAACTAGTAAAAGCTTGTTAACATTCAGTTACTAACATGTTTTGTATCAACTAATCAGATGCCAGGTAATATTGTACTATCAGAAATTCAGGGTCAAACTGAGATAGACAAAATTCCCAAGAAAACTATAAAAAACAATAAACACTTTAAGAGAATACAAGACAGTATGTAATAAGATGAATAATAAGCCTTTCCCTATCAACAAAATCTCTATTTCATATCACTTCTAGTTCTATAAGGTGACATTTTACTTGTTAGTCCTTTTACTTCCTAGAATATTCTTGTCCTTAGTAGAAGAAGTGTGTACTTGAGTCTTTTCAAGTTATCAAAGGCCCAAATTTTTATTCAAAAGAATTATAAACAAGTAAGGGAAGATAGGAGAGATACATGAAGACAAGCTTCAAGTTGGTTTAATGAAAGTATAAAGACTTTATTTGCAAAAAATATAAAACTTCTTACAAACATTTTTTTTGTGTATGGTCAGAGTATCAGCAAAAAGAGTTTATATTTCACTAAAGTTTTTATATTACTTAATATATCTATCTTAATTTATTTAAATTCTGAATGCAATTTTGAAATTAATTTTGTATTTTATATAAAAATTTATTTATTTCTAGGTTGCAATCACAAGATCTATAGTTCAATATTACTTAAAAATCAAAATTAAAAATTATTCTACTGATCAAGTTTACTAATTATCCTATAAAAGTCATATCCAATCATTTGGAACAAACTTTAATTAGATTAGATTATATGAAGATGGAACTTCTGACCTTCCATTGATCAAAGACTAAAATTTATATTTGTACTATTAGAAGGATTACATGAAAAAAGGCTTCTTGTCTAGTTTATCATAAATGTCCCAAAAATCTTCTATCTTGATAATCTCAAGACTCTTATCTTTTTAGCTTAGAATATTTCAATATGATGCTCTACTTAAATAAAAATTAGTCAAATAGGATTGATTTGATAAAACAGGTGATAATAAAGAAAGTAAATTGTCTCTTTCTAAGATTTAAATGAATAATATTTAAAAACATTGAAGAGTAAACTAAAATTCTATCAAGTATATTTTATATAAACTAGTTTAGTAACTATAATATAAAAATTTATAAAGCTCAATATTAAATTAATTTGTTTCACTATTAATAACTATGTATTAACTATTTGATCTCTAGCTGGATCTATCCACTCATAGAATGATAGTAAGTTCACCTAGAATAAACTATAATAGATTATTATTAATCTACATATATATATAGTTTATATTAAATGATTGATATTATGCCTAGAATTTCATTATCTAGATGTTAAGTTAATTCTTAATAAAAGTGCTTATATCTAATACCAGTTTCAGTTTAAAAAAAAATTCTTTTTTATTTATTTATATTAATATAAAAAAAATTATATTAAAAAATTATTTTATTTTTTTTATTTTTTTTTTTAAACCACAATTAATATTAAATGTGAACTTTTTATTAAGAATTAACTTAACATATGGTGGATAACTAAATCTGTAATATGATATTAATCATCTCATATAAACTATATATTTCTATATACATGTAAATTAATAATAACCTATTATGGTTTGTCTTAGTTAGATCAGCTACCACTTCTTGAGTGGGCAGATCTAACTAGGGGCCAGATGATTAATACACAGTTATCAATGGCATGGCTAGGTTAATTAGTATTGAGCTGTTAATTTGTGTTTATTATTGTTTCACTAAGCTAGTCCTTTTCGTATGTACCTGACAAGATATGTTATACCCTCCAATATTCCCAGATATTATTCACTCAGACCTCAAAAGGGGACACGTTACCTTCTTTATTACCATCTGTGGCATTGGATCAATCCTTATTAACTGATTTTCAATTAAGCGGAGCACCAGATTGGGATATCCTGAGCTAGGAGAGTGGGGGTTCTGGAGATTGCCAGGGCAGAGGGGAGTCTTAGGGACATCTATGATAGGCTAGACCAGAAGCCTTTCTTCATGCAATTCTTTCAGTA